CTACTTCTGTAATAAAATGCCAGGAGAGTCTATTAAATTGGTATAAACCAATTTCACAAGATAAACAAACCAAAGTTACTTGATGCCGTCATTTATGGAAATCTTCCTTTTAAAATCATCAAAAATCCTTATTTTCTTGATTTTTTAGATGAAATTGCTCCAAACTATATTCCGCTTTTTGCTGAAATGTTAAGTACTAAAATTCTTAACAATTCATTCTCCATTTACCTGGCTAAGGAATATGAAATAATGGCATCTCTTACCGATGTTACTATTGCCTTGAATGGATAGCAAGACGTTTCCCGAAATGCAATTTATGGTTTTATGTCTTTAAAAGAGGATAAGGAATGTGTTTTAGATATAGTTGACCTTTCAGCAAACCATTACACAGCAAGTTTTCTTGGAAAGCAATTTAAAAAAACTCTTCAATTAAATTCAGTTAATATAAATTCCGTTATTGCATGTGTAACTGATAACCCGTCAGTTATAGTCAGAATGAGAACTGACCTTAATAAAAAACATCCAAATATAGTTTCTATTCGCTGTTGTCTTCACGCCTTTAATCTCCTTGCAAAAGATATTTCCTCATTTCAACTCTTACTTTCAGTTATTAAAAATAATCAGAAAATCATTAATTTTTTTACTTCTTCCTATATTTGGCTTAAAACACTGAGAGATTGGCAAAAAAAAGAGGGACTACAGTATTCACTTATAACCTTTTGTAATACCAGATAGTACTCTCTTGCAAAGGTTTGTTTGGGTATAAAAGCTTTTGAAAGAGGGTTTCTTTAATGTATTAATCTTAGTGGAACTCAAAATTACCCTACAATTAAAGCAGAAATTAAAGATATAGTCAGTAGCTGTTATCATTTTGCCAACAACGATACATTAGTAGCAGTGCTTATTTCTGTTGTTGACACCATTGGTCACCTTGAATCGATAAGTACTATATTAGCTGATATTTTTCAAGAATTAATTAATATTCATCTTATCATTTTAAGAACAAATATTCCAATCGATAGATTGAAAAACTATACATTAGCAGCTATAGATAGATGAGCTCGTGAATTTTCTGACAACATTTATTTTGTTGCTTTTTTTTTTGTCACCATATTACAAACAAGTTTCAATATCAGAACAGATGACAAGAGATTTAATTGTTAGAGCTTCTTTGAAGTTTGCAAAGGCTTGGGAGTTTGATAAAAGGGAAACAACTCTTTTTTATAAAGAGCTTATCAATTATAAAAATGGAGATACCCCCTTTGATACTTACAAAAATATAAAAGGTGTTAACCCCAAGTATTCTGGGCACAATTTGCTAGAGGTTCTCCACTTCTCTGATGACTTGCTATAAAGGTCTTTTCAATCATTCCACATGCAGCAGCCATTGAACGTCTCTTTTCTAGCTTAGGACTAGTAAAACCAAAATCACGAAATAGAATGTCTCCTACTCTAATGGGGATGCTTGGAATGCTCCACCATAACCTTCAACAAAAGTTCTCTAAAACAACAAAAAAAAAAACCAAAAAACAAGTTACAACTACAAATCTTACAAATACACCAGGTACTAAAAATACTAGCTTTGACTTTTTTTTTGAGGAGGAAGGATTAGAGGAAGAATCTTTAGACTTTGATATTGAGGCGGTAAGTATTACTATAGATGATGATCTAATGTTAGAAAAATTCTTTGACCTTGGTGCTTTTGAACAAAATCAAGAAATTGTTGAAGAAAGCTCATCAATTACTCTTCTAAACCCTAACGGTATTGAGGATTGGTCAATTGATGATATTTTCACCCAAACGTAATCAATGTAATAAATTACTACAAGTAAAAATACTTGAATAAATAAATAAATAAATAGTGTAATTCAATCATATATTTTACTAGTAAAATTATAACTACGTCTCAGGAATATGCTTATATCTAATTAGCATATTTCTATATTTTATTGTGTGTGTTATAGTTATTCGGATCAGGCATTTGTAGCTTCTCTTAATAAAATTAGAATAAGTTCTATACTTACAAACTAGTAGTTCAACACGTAACTGAATAAATAGAATAAATGAGAAAAATTGTTAATCTTGGTAATCTTGAATCAGTATGTCTTACATTATTAATAATTAAAGTTTATAACACATAACATGTGCCAATGGCATGCCGGGGTGTTATCTTGGCATGAATTTGGGCAGATGGCATGCCACGTGGCATGCCAAATTTTTCTAGCGTGCCAAACATCCTACTAAAGCCTGAGCAGACCAACCTTTCTAAGTTGCTGGCTAGAAGTAAGGGAGGGACCAATAAAGAATCCGGGTAAGAAGACAGTTTAAATGCGGGTACTAGGGTTGTTGTGAACCTATACAAGGGCAGAAGTAGGTAACAGTCTAATTAGAAAGGTTGTGGCTTGTCGGATTGGGTAGCGGCAATACCCTTAGGGGTGGCTTGAGATATAAACTTGGTTATAGTGGCATAATTAGTACTAAGTTAGATAAGAGGTTCAATGGTTAGCCCTGACCCGAGTGCATAGGTCAAGCTGTGGCAGTAGATTACCAAAGCCTGGATGAATACATGGGTGGGATATGTACTCTAGCAAAAAGTTAGTCACTGGCTTCAATGTTGAGGTTCAGTGCAGTTCCACGACTAAGTGGTGCAGCTATCACATCTAGGGCTTAGTAAAGTAACCAGGTGGGGTTAGGTATTTCAGTAATCATTAGTTCTATAGTACTGGCACCTGTTGTTTAGAAATAGTTCTTATACGCTATTTGCCGACAAGCTTAGAGTTTATCACTTACCATCTATGTTAGTTAGCTAGCATCATTTGTATACATAAATTAATTACTAAAATAAATACCTGGCAAGATACACCAAAGTTAAAAAAAAAAAAAATCATTATGCACTAATTTGATGTTATGAATTATATCAAGTCCATCAACATTAGACTGGGCTTCTAAAATAGCTAATCTATATTACATAGCTTCACCATATTTACTATCTAACAATTTTCAGAGACTTCCTTCCATAATTATCATTTTTTGAATTTTTAGTTATTCCATAAATCGCAATTGCCGAATAGCCTCCATATCTATGTTGATTTTTAACCTATATAATAAAATATTAATTAGAGTAAGATTACTATACTTTAATAAATATTAAATTATAATACTTCCTTAATCTAAAAATTCTCATTTCATATCTTTAGAATTATTAAGACTTTTTAAACAAACATCTATTTGCAAACTTCTTTTCCACTTATTCGTCCAAAAATCAAGTTCTATAATATCTATACTGCCTTAAAAAAAGTGTTAAAACCTCTTTTAGCAAGATGCTTTATATTTGCAAATTTACTAAAGAGTATCCATTCAATAATGTCTTTAAACTTCTCTGCATTTGTTAAATTAATTGATTAACATTGTGGCTATCACTTGTCCAGTTATGAAATTTTTTTTTAAACCTTAATATTAAAAAAATAATAAATATAATCTATATATAGTAATTAAGAGCTATGACTATAAAAAAAAATAACTAATATAAAAAGTAATATTCTACCATTGTAAGTGCTTGTATTGGAAATGATATTATACAAAAGTTTTTATATAAAATCTGCTATTTTGATACAAAGTATGTGTTAAGATTGAGATAAGGCCATACAAACTTATACTATTGGTTTTTATATCACCAAGTAATCTTTCATAACCCAGCAACCCAGATTTTTATTTTTTTTAAAAAAAAATTTTTTAATAAAAAAAAATTATTTAAAAATTTTATGTTCTTACAACCCGGATACCTGGTAAAAATTTTCATATGTTAAAATTTTAACTTTATTTTTTACATTATTAAAAACATATAACATATTGTTATGTTTTGGCTATAACATTTACAGTCTTCTACATAATAATATCAAAGCTCAATTATCTATTTATAATTAATTTTCATGCATTATGTATTCTACATATCTTTGATATTATTGTACCCAGAGAATATGTACCGGGTTGGGTTCGGATGGTGGTCCGGATGATGGTCTGAAAAATGTCTTTGAATTTTTACATTTTTTTTCTTTTTGCTAAGTCTTTATTTTTCAATTATAGAGATAATATAAAGCAATATTTAATACAATTTACAACATATATCTAATATATAGAATAATACAAATAAACTTGAATTTCGATATTATAATAATTTATTTCTTTTTAACCATTTGGTTTTTTCTTCATTAATGTCTTTTATTTCAAATTGATCGATATTTTCTTTTTGCATATTCATTGACTGTATGAAATTTGATGAAATAGATAAGATGCTAACTTGTTTATTGATAGAGATTCAGATTTCGTATCTTTCTTGAAATACATCAAAAAGTTTTAAAAGCATTTAATAAATATTAACTAACACACAGCATTAGTTAATACTCAAAAGTGTAGAAAAATGAACCTTTCATAGCTTAACGCATTGAAAAATCAGTATACCAATGCATTAAGCAACAAATTTTGTTAACCAACATGTTTCAAAACAACGTTTGTTTATGT